TAGGTTTATTTGCGTTACGCTTATTAATTTGTGCAGTTATTCAGTGTCTGGTAAGTTAATGTTCAAAAAAAATATTAATTTTTATTAAAATGTTCTATTATTTTATGTTAATGATGACTCATTTATTTCAGCCCTTTGTATTCAGCAGGCCTCTATTGAAATAAACCTACATTTCTATGAAAATTGAAGCTTTTGGTTTTTTGTGGCCCATAAACTTAAACCTTGTTTATTTGGCCTGTGTTAGCCTTTGAGTCTCACATGCTCCCAGTTCTCCTTCCAAACTCTTGGGAAGAGGCGGACTGGTCAGCTCAGGCTGTGCACGCCCGTGAGAGCTGCTCCTCTGTCCATGTACCACAGAGGAAGGTGGGAGAATCCCACCCCGTCTGCTGTGTAACAACTTCACTGGTATTTCCACACCCTTTATTATTCCTCACAGCTTCATACATGCACATACAACGGAGAATGGGAAAGGGGCTCATAAGCATGGGGCTCGGAGATACAGCTGAGTGGATTTATGGATTGCCAAGAGCTGATTGTACGTCCACCACAGCTTGCGAAATAAAGCCTTTCATCTTCACTTTCCAAATAAACTCTACTTGCCTTAGAATATACGACAATACCTAGTGCCATTTAAAATGTCTACACAGCCCGGCCGGCGTGGCTCAGTGGTTGAGCGTTGACTTATGAACCAGGAGGTCACGGTTTGATTCCTGGTCAGGGCACAAGCCCGGGTTGTGGGCTGGATCCCCAGTGTGGGGCCTGCAGGAGGAAGCCAATCAATGATTCTCTCTCATCATTGATGTTTCTATCTCTCTCTCCCGCTCCCTTCCTCTCTGAAATCAATAAAAATATTTAAAAAAATAAAATGTCTACACAAATCACTGTGTGTCATAAGCAGCTGCAGAAGCTGAGACAGTGGGTGAAAAAGGGCCTCAGCTGAGTAGAGGCCAATAATGACATTCACGTCTACTGAGAATCTCTCTTTATGATGAGGTCAGAAAGAGAACCACTTTCATGACAATAAATAAAACAAAGCATTTTACATTCTTTGAATTGTGGATGTAGCTCTCAAGGGACCTGTCTCCAGAAAGAAAACAACTAGAGCCCCAAATGGCCTGCACCGTGCAGGCTGCTTGCTATTGGACGCGCATGTGCGAGTACTCGCCTGTGGGAACGCGGAGACAGAAAAACAGAACTTGGCCAGCTACATGGGTGCTCTTTCCAGATGCAAAATAAGATTTGCTTTGAAGAATACAAAGGCTGCTTTTTTCTCTAACAGGGAAGAATATGTAGCTCCTAGCTAATTGGCTAAAAGCAGGTTCAAAGATAACTTACTTATGCCTTTGTGAGTGCTATCCCCTCCTAGACCATTTCTTGCAACAGAAACCGAACGGATTTAGATAAATTTTTAAGTCTCTTGCTATCTGAACACTTGCTTCTTACAATCGGAGATGCAAGGACCAAATGTGATGTGAAAAACAGGAGATACTGTGTACATATTTATCTAAGGGAGGGGCCCGCCAACTTCTGTACAGGCCCAGGTAGAGGAGAGTTTTGGTTTTAAAGGTTATAGTTTTACACTCCCGTACAGTTGCAATATAAAAGCAGCTACAGGCAATGAGTGAGCGACCAGGTGACTGTGCTCCAATAAAGCTCATTTATGAAATGTGTGGTTGCAGGACTTAAATCCAGTGTACCAGGACCACACCCACATTCCTCTATTTCATTACCTCAAATGGCAGAGCTCCGATGATATAAAACGTTCATTTTTACAGGCTTTAAAAAGATGGGCCAGGCCAAAGTGAAAAAATTCTGAGTTACAGTATATGCAAATCAGGGTAAGGACATTATTTGGGAAAGTGTCACTTTTTCTGAAAAAGTTTTATCAGTCATTTATGTTTATATTTTAATTAAAAAGATGCTGTTATAAAAATTGACTTGCCACATGGCTGTGAAGTGGCCGGCAGAGAGGTGGACGGGCCTACCCTGCAGGCTCCCAAGCCCGTTCTGCACACTGTGATGCCTTAAGGTGCCTTGTTCTTCCACTTTCAAAGTTTCCTCAGAAAGATCTGGTTTAATTATCCTGTACTTACTAGAGGCCTGGTGCACGAAATTCGTGCACTCGGGGGGGGGGGTCCCCCTAAGCCCAGCCTGCGCCCTCTCATAGTCCAGGAGCCCTCAGAGGATGTCCAACTGATGGCTTAGGCGGGCCTAAGCTGGCAGTCAGACATCCTTAGCACTGACTCGACCAAACGGCAGAACGACCGGTCACACTATGATGCACACTGACCACTAGGGGGCAGATGCTCAACGCAGGAGCTGCCCCCTGGTGGTCAGTGCGCTCCCACATGGGGAGCGCTGCTCAGCCAGAAGCTGGGCTCACGGCTGGCGAGCCCAGCGGCAGTTCCGGGAGCCTCTCCTGCCTCCACTGCAAGTGGGTGGTAAGGAGTGAGGGGTCCTGGCAGTTGGACATCCCTGAGGGGTCCTGGCTGAGGGGTGCAGGCTGGGCTGAGGGCCCCACCCCCACCCCCCAGTGCACAAAATTTCATGCATCGGGCTTCTAGTTGATTATAATACACTTTTATGGCCATTTCCTTCAGACTTTTGCCCCCAAATTATATGTCATTATATAACATTTGATACAAAGAATATATTTGGGCTCTGAATCATAACAATGAAGTGAATACCTATGGATCCCACCTACCAAATAAAAACCAATATATAATACCTGCATCTCTCTCATTTTGTTTTACTTCAATTCTTTTTTATTATACAAAGTAATACACAGGTACGTCTAAAGTTACAGTTTGATGAGATAATTTAAATAGCAGTTTCCACCCCCTCTACCCTTATCCATCTCTCAGATCCCCCTACACAAGCTCTTTTAATTGCCCTATAAAAAAATTAATAACAGGTTTATTAAGATATTTCACATAGCATAGTTTACCCTATTATTTATATATTTTTAAATCATTTTTAAAAAATATATTTTTATTGGTTTCACAGAGGAAAGGAGAGGGAGAGAGATAGAAACAACAACGATGAGAGAGAATAATTGATTGGCTGACTCCTGCACGCCCCACACTGGGGATTGAGCCCACAACCCGGGCATGTGTCATGACCGGGAATCAAACCGAGACCTCCTGGCTCATAGCCATGCCAGCCAGGTGAGTTTACCCTTTTAAAATGTACAATTCAGTAGCGTTTAGTAGTCACAGGTCATACAACCAACATCACTAACTCCAGAACATTTACATCACCCCTAAAGAAACCCTGTGCCCAGTCACTTCCTGGCTCCCTCCCTCAGCCTCTAATCTACTTTGCCCACACTGGACATTTCACATAAAGGAAACCATATAATATGTAGCCTTTTATATCTGGCTTCTTTCCTTTAAAAAGTTGCAATTAAAACATTTCTTTCTGCCCTAACTGGTTTGGCTCAGTGGATAGAGCGTCAGCCTGCAGACCCAAGGGTCCCAGGTTCGGTTCCGGTCAAGGGCATGTACCTTGGTTGCAGGCATATCCCCAGTAGGGAGTGTGCAGGAGGCAGCTGATCGATGTTTCTCTCTCATCGATGTTTCTAACTCTCTATCCCTCTCCCTTCCTCTCTGTAAAAAATCAATAAAATATATTAAAAAATATTTCTTTCTGTTAAAAACTTACATGTTCATTGCAGAAAATGAAAAATTCACAGGAAAGCATGAATAAAATTTAAGTACTCATCCAGTGATAACCGCTGTTAATGTTAATATAACATTTGGATAAATTATTTTTACCGAATTGGAAGCATACTATATTGCTTTAGAATCTAACTATTGACTTAATATAACGGGCACACTTTTTTCTAGTTCCTTTAAATGTATTTGCACAAAGCAAGATTTTTAAGCTTGATTCCCTTATTGTTAGAAATCTGTATTATTTCCAGTTCTTTAAAAATAACTTTAAATAAATAAAACTATAATCAACTTGTTCAAAATTCTATCTTCATAGGCATTCACAGTTACTTTCTTGAAACACAATTCCTGAGCTAAAGGGCATACTCATTTTTGAGATTCCTGACACATATTTCCCTCCCCAAAGGCGGCATTCATGCACACCCCCACCAATGGTGGAACAGAAATCTCATTTTGATCATCTGATCATTAAAATACAAAATCCTCCCAAAATGGCAGGTGCAATATTACAGTTTAAAATTTCACTTTATAAAGTTCAAATGCAGGCAAAACTAAATTAGCACGTAGGGGTGCGCACTTTTGTAGAAGCTTCGAGGGAGACAAGGGGGGGAGGGGGGGACGACGACGGGGACAGCTATGGCCGGCGTCGGGAGGGGCTGGAGACGGGCGGTGCTGGATTTCTGCATGTGAGTGAGGCTGTTCATGAAATTGTGCTGATGCACTTTATCTTTGTGTATGACGGTTCCTGATGAAAAAGCTTACATTACATCCAATATTACTTCCTTCTCTAACTTTCACAGAAAACACTGTCCTGGTAAACTGAAATTCCTAAACTAAATGCAAACAACTCTTCAAGTAGCAGAGAAATGCTGAGGGCTCAGCTAGGTGGGACCTCAATGGGAATTAGGAAAAGGGTCCCTTTTGGGAAGATGATTCCGCGAAAGCTGTGCCTTAGGTGGAAGCGGCCTGCTGGGTGCTGCTGGGGAGATTACCTCTCCTCTGAGCAAAGAGGAGGAGCCCTTCCACAGGACGCGGCAAGGTGGCTGGAGTGCAGATTGGCTCCCACCCCACCGGCCTCCGTCTGGAAACCTCTGGGCCGCGCACAACAGCAACACTGGCAGCCCTGACGGACGGCACCACCACGCACACTGGCCTAGACGAGCACAGGAACACACAGAACACACACTGGCTTGGACGGCTAGTGCCAGGGCTGCTGGGAAGCAGGTGGGCACCCCTTACCGCGTAGCCTTCTGTCTTCTTCTGGCACCATTTCAGCAGAGCATTGCGCTTCGAGCCGCCGTACTCCCGGGCCAGCGCAGCCAGAGGGTCTCTTCTTTCCACACTGGTTAGAGAGAGGAGCACACAGTAAAGAGAAGGTGCTGATGTTTAGAGCCCTCAACGATGTAAGAAATAAGTCATCATATTAGAAAGGCAGGAGTCTAGGTCATTCCAGTAAACTCCAAAGAAAAACAACCAAATCAGTCACATTAGCAATATATTTTTATGTCTCAGGGTATGAAAGAAAAATTAGATTGTCTTTCTTGACTATTAGAAGTCTATAAATAGGTTTTTAAACAAATTTTAAGTTCATCTGCTGCTCTAGCCATCTAGCCTTTTATTTATTTACTTAAGTACAGTATCATTTTAATTCAAGATACCTATAGAAAAACTCATGCGGTAGGGCCCCACTTACATCTGCATGTCATCTAAAAGGTAGGTTAGAAGGGCATTTAAAAACACTGGATTGGCTGCTTGTGGGGGAGATGCTGGGAATGGAGATGAAAGGCAAAGTCTGTAACAATTACTCAAAAGGGGGCTTTCAAACTCCACAGGTGACACTCCTGCTCCTCCGTTCTTGGTGCAGTCACTCAACTCCGAGCCCCCATTTAGCCACAGGAAGTGATTTTCCAGGAGCAAGGGCTCAAGTGCCCATCCTCAATTTTTCTATAAACATCTACGGTAATTTTATGCTACCTAAAATTCCCAAATACTAAAAGGGACTTAAGGTCACACGGTTTCTTCCATGAGGAAGCCAGGGAAGGGGGATTATATTCCCATCCCACTGGAACTGCCCGCAATTTCCCAGCACCGCGTGTAGGAGAGCAGGGATAGAGGGCAGGGCATCTCTGAAGTGTCAACTGTAGCAGCGACAACGTGAGAGCAGCAGGATTTAGCCCTCGGCGTGTGCATCATCACGGCAGTGTGGTGGGCAGTTAGACAGGCACGAGGAGAGCAAGGACGATGGGCCAGGTACAGAAGGTCTCCAGGGCAGAAAGGCCCCCGTGCCTAGCAAAGGCAAAACTGGGAAAACAAGGACCTTGCCCCCAAGTGACTTTCCTCCCCAGCATAACCCTGGTCACGCAGCTTGGACCCTCCCCTGACCGTTCCTCCCGTGGCATGTCACTAATCATGCGTAGATCCCCTTGGAGGAGGAACAAGAGGCCAAAAAGTGGCTTCATGCAACTCCGTGTGGGCCCTTGCGTGACCAATCCCTTAAGCGTTAACCTCTAGGGATAACATCAGTTGTGTTTCTGCTCCAGGCCCAGAAAAGCAGCAAAAACCAGACAAGCGACTGACCTTAGGACCAGCTACAATGACAACTGACCCCCTGCCCTGGTGCCAACCCATCAGTGGAGACCATGACCCTGAAAGGGCACACCTGGAAAGGTGACAAATATTTATTGAGATCCTCCCCTGGGACTTCCCCTGAAAGCCCTTAGGATGGAGGACCAGCAAGGCCCTCTCTAGGGAGCACACCCTGCCTTTCCCCACTGGTTTCCTTGCTTCTCTCCTCCATGAGCTCCAAGGGCCCTTCGTTTGCCTCTGTAACTTGTTTCCTGCCCCTTCTACAGCTCACGTTTTCTGCCTCTGTGATTGTCTAAATAAACTTCCTCTTACAGTTTGAGTCTTGGCTCTGAATTCTTTCTTAGCCAGAACTCAAGTACCGAGGTTCCTGAACTGAAGTCCAATCTCTGGTAACAACAGCAGCACTTCTTATAATAGCAAACACTGGAAAAAACCAATGTACATCATCAGGAAAATGGATAAACTGGGGATATTTACATAATAGAATACTATATAGCAATAAAAAAACCAATGAATTACAGATGTATGTAATAACTTGAATGAATAGCAGGAACATTTTGAATTAAGAAACTCCAACAATGTTTTTATATTTCCAAAGTTGCAAATATGCCCTGGCCAGGTGGCTCAGTTGGTTGGAACATCATCCCAGACACCAAAAGGGTATGGGTTTGATTCCTGGACAGGGTACATACCTAGATTTTGGATTTGATGCCCGCTTGGGGCTAGTATGGGAGGCAAAACTCTCTCACATTGGTTTCTCTCAACATTGGTCTCTCTCTCTCTCTCTCTCTCTCTCTCGTCCTCTTTTTCTAAAAATCAATAATATAAATATCCTCAGGTGAGGATTAAATAAATAAATTTTAAATATGCAATTTAATGGATATACTATTTGTATTGTCTGGGTACACAAAATACATGGAGAAACTGTAAAGAAAAACACACAAAGTTCAGAATGGTGGTGACCTTGGAGGAGGGCGAGGAAGGGGCAGGAGGTGCTGCAAATGGCAGGGCTGACGGGAAGTTCAAAAGTGTTCATTTCCTTTTCCTTAGCCTGGAAGGTGGTGTCCAGGTTGCTCTCCATCGGGTTGATATTCCTTATACCTTACACATATTTTATTATTTTGTATCCATCCAATATTTAATAAAGATATTTTAAATGATTTAAAAGGAGTAATGGGATGATTCTAGACTGTGACAATCTGCATCAAGGTAGGGAGGTTTTAAGGAAAACTTTATACTTGAATTAAAGTTTTCTTGTATAATGTGATGCCTGCCTTTCCTTCTATCTGACACATCTGTAAACTCAAACCCACAAGTTTCTGTTAACTATGAAGTTCTGGTGACGTTGCCTGAGTTTGCTGTGCCTGGCCTGGGCTTACTCCATTTCCTAGAGATGAATGTCTAGGTCTGACAAACGAGGGAAGACTGAAATGAGTATTTGGGAAAGAGTTTCTGTATAAATGGATGACTAAACATTTACCAAACAGTTTTCTTTTAAAAACAGAGCTACCTAGATAAGATTGCAAAAAAATTAATAATAGGATGAGAACTTCCAAGGTAATTTGTATCCTGCCATTGGTTTGTCTCAGTGACATGAATATAAAAATAAGTAACTAATTAATTTCACTAATTTAAGCTTTCACGATTAAGGGTATAGTAAAAATAGCATATTAATACACAAATAGCCTTTTTGTATGCAGTTCTAGCACAAAGAAAAGAGCTACTGGAAAAAATAAAATAAAGTATAAAAGACCCATTTCAGAATAGCACTAATTTTAGTCCTTAAAACCTGTTTTGATTATTTCAATCTCTTGCACATAAACAAGACTGACATTTAATACCTGGAGCTTTAAATTAAACCTCTGAATGATATGCCTTCATTTATTTGGGCCAAAATAATGACTACACCCAAAGATATGGCAAGAGCTGAACTTACTCAGACTTTCAAAAAATCCTTTTATAATATTAATAACTAGAGGCCCGGTGCACAAAAATTTGTGCACTCGGGGGGCGAGGGGAGGGGGGGCC